ATTGATTTTGTTAATATAAATTAGTAAACATATTGAAAATTATTATGTACAACAATATTGCATGCATTAATGTTACTTTTAATATAATATTTTTTATTTATTAACAAACAGTACATACAACATTAGTATTTATTTTTTAATGCCGTTAAAAGTGCAAAAGTATACATACTGTTCATGTTCATTCAAAAGTGGCAAGAGTGTTTTGATTTAATAATTGTAAATAACAATCTGCAAAATATGAAATAAAGGAAATAATTAAAAAGCATTTGATATTACTGTTGCTAAGTTTATATTTTCCTATTATATGAAAACTATTCAGTTAGAAAATCAGTTATAGTTCTTAACCAATAAAAATGGTTATGTTAATGTTTACACGTTTTATAAATGTACGAAATGTAATAAATGTTAATAATTTTGGTGCTGCTGGAAGTATATTAAATGTTGTACGGCACTCGGTAAATTAAAAACTTCAAAATGTTAATTAAATTCTATAACAAATATTTCTTAATTATCAAATGATTTGTATAACCCTAAAATCACATTTAACTAAATAATAATACAGATTTTATGATTTTAGAATGTTATATCTAAACCATATTCCACAACCATCAATAGTCAAAGTGATAACGAAATTTTTGATGATTTTGAAAAGCTACAGAATAAAAAAATAAATAAAGCTATGAAAGCTTATTTACAACGATCTAAAGACTACAGTAAGTTATAAATGTACTGTAATGTTTAAAATGTAGTTTTGGTTATTGCTCTTGCTATCATTAAGATGGATACATGTATAAATTAAATGACAATTAATTATTGATTTTAGGGACATTTATAGAAAAACAAATACTTGAATATGATATTGGGAAACGACATTTAGCTAATATGATGGGTGAAGATCCTGATAAATTTACACAAAAAGATGTTGATGTAAATTATATTTATATGAAATATGATTTTTGTTAAAATAATTGGTACAAATTTAATAAATGCTATAAATTTTTATTTTTGCAGAAAGCCATAAAATATTTGTTTCCATCTGGTTTATATGAAAAACAAGCTCGTCCTATAATGAAACACCCAGACATATTATATGATACTATAAATACAGCAGCATTTGATGATTGTGGCAGACCACACCATTTCTTGTTTTATACTACCAAACCTAATTATTATGAAGTACTTCATGTAAGTTTGTTTCCAATATATTTTCCTTGTGTATGTCTGAATATAGTGTACTGTAATAACTGTAACAAATATTTTTGCATACAGAAAGTTGTAGAGTCGATAAATTATTTAAATAAAATCGAAGACCACAAAATACACATGAAATTGCAAATTTATTCTGAGCAAAAACTGTAAGTTGTGATTCCTTTTATTATACTTACATGTTTTTTAATTCATCATTTTATGTATTTATATCTTAATTAATTATTACTGTTTCAGAATTTTAACTGCATCAACTTGGTTAACACAAGAAGAAATGGAAAAGAAATTACAGGAAAAACTTTGGTTGCCACAAGTAATAAATAAAATATGATTTTTATAGTTTAATTTTTTAAACATGATATTTGTCACAGATTTATTTAATTCTTTAATTTGTTCTAGTATGAATACCTTATAACAAGTCTGGAAAGAGTTGTTGATCATCCTGTATCAAAGCATGTAGAACCTTTCATTATGGAGTATAGAAAAATGTTGAAAGACGTTACTGATAGTACAGAAATTATAGAAGTAAGTACATATCAGGTATATTTTATTTTCTCATTTATATTTTGTTAGTAGAAGAAGGTCAATATATATTTTTGTTATAGCCTCAATACGATAGTGATAATAGGCCTTTTGTTCTTGTTGAAAGTAAGTATAAAATAATTATTAATTTCAGTATTAATCTAATAGTACAATTTTAATTATGTATTTCATATTGTTGGAATATTATTTTTGAAATTAGGAAAATACTTCCTATACTTCAAATAGTTCCATACTTCAAAAATATTTGCAAGCAGATTATTTGTTAATATTAAAATTATTATTTTAGTATACTTTTTCGTTATCAATTCAATGTCTAACTCATTAAAATGCCACATTTTTACAGAATGTGCAAGAAAAAGTACAAGAGGCCAGGTTAAGATAACAGGTAATGGATCTGGAAATATTAGCATTAATGGAACGGATATCACATACTTTAATGACATGCAATGTCGTGAGCAAGTAAGTTTTTAAATGAATAGTTTGAATAATTTATACTACCAGCATGTAACAATAGTTTGCGATTAGATTAATTTATGTAATGAATATCAACTTTATACATTTTTAGTAATTACGTATTTAGTAATTTAGCAATTTAGTAATTTACATTTAAGTAACTTCAATTTCATTGCGAATTTTTGTTTAAAAACTTCAAAAAATATAAATAACGATAAAAAAATTATGGTATATATCAAAGCAATTTTTATGTGAAAATCGGTAAGTATTATAAATAGTTAATGCAAAATTAATATTGAATAATATATGCTGTTTATAAGAATTGAGGTAAGTATTATATTGTTAACGCGTTAACTGCCGCGCCGGTCTGAGCCTTAACTAAAGGTATTAATTATGGTATTAAATAGAAAATACAATATTTTATTAAAAATTAATGTAATTTATTAAAACAATTTAAACAAAGATGCGGTTTTCCTTTGCTCACGTTACAATATGGTACTACTTTTTCTGATAAATTTTTTACCGATTTTCTAATGCACTATGTTAAAAACTTTTTTTTTTCCCCAAAACAAAGAAGTATAATTATGAATATACAAATCAGTTTACAAATATTTTAGCTATGCGTTCTTGAAGAAAACTTGAAGTTTTTATATTAAGATTAACCTAGTCTGGAAAAACCAGTTTTATAAGTACTTTAAGTATGTTCCTTTTTTTACTCATTTATGGCACCATTTTTATTTTTAATAAAGAATTTGCTTTTAAATAAATTAATTGTTGCATTTCAAAAATGTGTTAAAAATTGCAAATACTGCTTAACTTTGTAATGGTCTTTTATGACCTAGAACGTTCTTTATTACACAATTATTATCAATTTATAGCAGAAAGCTATCTAAAAAAATATTAAAACCAAAGAAAGGTAAAATTGTAATTAAAGTTCGTATTGTTCCTACTTTTTGTAATTTTCTACGATTATTCTCTGTATTATTTTCTTTAGAATTTCGTTTAGATAAAAGATTATCTAACCATTGAATATGAAAATAGTCATGACAACATTTGAGATTACAATCTCCAATTTTCCCGTTTCCCACGGCCTTGTGTTTTTCCGTTTAAAATTCGCTTGAATCGAATCAAGGAATACGGTTAGGAGTTCCTGCAAAGAAAGATCGAACAAACTAATAAAATGAACGCTGTATCCTCACCTGAATCTGTGATACACGATGAATCAAGAACTACAATTTTACAGAATCTTTTAATGAAAATTATAAATCTTGAGAAAAAAAAGAAGAGATGAAACTAAAAAAAAATTTGTTCACGTGAAAAGGTGACGAGGCCTTGCGAATTGTTGATATTTCCGATGTGTGCGATTTATCGTGGTCTCCACGATCTCAGGACAGACAATGCGTGCAAGAAGCTTGATTCGAGCTCAGTATTAATCGAGCCGTCCGATAGAACGACAGACTCAAGATATGGTAATGATACACCAACACCTTCAATAATACGGATCGTTCGTTTGATCAAATCGATCGAGTTTACACGTGGAAAAACTTCGTTGATAAATCGTCGTCTTGACATGACCAAATCATCGGTAAAGATATAAAATTGCAGAAACTTGCATCTTACATCGGATGTCGGAGTGCATATGTGACAGAATATCAGAGAAAATATTTATTTACTTCTAAATCGTCGTTTCTCCAAGCCAAAGAATTATCCTATGAATTATCTAGTGAAGCAATTGTATCAGTGATAGCACGGGAAAAAATTTGAAATACTTATTATAAGTTCGAAGTGCATAGTTTCAACTTGAAGCGGTAATAATTGGAAATGTGTAAATGTCATGTTTCGAGCATGCGTAGAACCGGGCAGAGTTTGACGATTTCGAAAATGAGAAATATGACGAAGTGTGCTTGGCAACGCAATAATGAAATAAAATTCCATTCGGTTGCTGCGATTTTATTTTTGATAATTTTTCATATATTTGAAATGATATTTTTGAAAATGGGAATTTTTCTTTTGGGATTTTTAAAAAAAATTTTGGAAAATAATAAAAGAAGCGAGTGTCTACATTAAAAGAGATTTTTCGATAGGAAAATTTATATTCAAATTCATTTGAAATACTCCGAGAAATTTTATTATTTTACGCGTTTTACTATCCTGATAAATAGAATCACTATTTTCAGTCAATATTTCGCAAATAAAACTTAATGGATCTGCATAAAAAAAATTTCACACTTTTCACATAACCTTTCTAACATTTATAATTATTTTACATTTAAAAATGAAAAATGTTAAATATTTTTAATCTACGTAATCTATACATGTTTTCCGATTCTGAGAAAACCTTCCTCGTGGCTATAAAAAATTTTCGAATTATTTACAATAATAACGTATTGTCGATTGTAATCGTGTAAGAATGCGAAATACGCGTGAACGTCATCTCACATACTTTCGTCGTGTTTTCAGAATCGGTATGTCGAGAATGTTCTTGTATTCGATAGTTGAAGGACTCGAACTGTATATAAATAATATCAATTCAAAGGTAACGGTGCGACAGCTCGCAGTCATCAAAGTATGTACTTACCCGATTTTCCAATTGACATTCGCGCCTCACGTGATATAGAATTAGACGCCATCAAAGATTATTTTTTACTACCGCTGACAGCGTTACTGTAGCAAAATTTTCGAAATATATTTTCAAACAAAACTTGCCGAAATTTATCATTTCATCGAAGTTTATTTTTATTTTAGAAAAATTTATCATTTCTACGACTCTATTCTACACACATTCATAGAGTTTCCGTGTGCCTTCAAGTACAAACCATGACTGTCTTAATAATGTAATTGAAACAAATTGTGTTTGAAATCATGATATTATTACATTCTGCCTGATTGAGTAATTGCTGACTTCGTTACACGTAAATTGAGAATTTAAGTTAAAGATCGTCCAATTTTTTAGATCTTTGCGTAATATTATTTATACGATATTAAGAAAACTTTCTGTAGTGTACAAATTTTGCTGTAAACGAAGTAAAAGTGTTTCCTTCTATTTTAAATTTTAAAAAACATTAAAAAAAAATTGAATATAATCGATCGTTAACTATTGATAAATATCAAAGGATAACTCTTGGCTGGAATAGCTGCGAAAGTTTCACCGAATAAAAACATTTTCGCAATCGCTTCGATCGATAATCGATTTCACTAAGAACGTAAGCCTTTCGTAAAGAATTCACAAACAATCGAAAGCATGAATGATAACTGTTCAATACGCGCACATGCCGCGCGCGAGTCAGACAAATAAGCTTCGACGAATCGATCAATTAAGCAAAGTGACGTCACCTTATTTTCATCTCAATGCACGTTCGTAAAACCGCGCATCGGGTTCATTCATGAATTACTACTCAACCCTTTCACGCTACTCACAACAATGCTCTTTGTAGATCGATGATGTAATCGCGTAAAGCGTACACCAAGGATGGAGAACAACAACCATTCGCAAGCGTCAAGTTCGCCGCTGGCGAAAAAGAAAGTACAAATCGACAGGATCATCGATATGCAAGATGTAACGGTATCCACACCGAGTACACCGAAACGTACGACCGTGACATCTTTACTTTTAACACGATGGTTGGCATCGAAGAGTCCCTCACGTGCAGAACCAGAAACCAATTGGTCGTCGGATGACCATACTTTGGAATACGGGACACCGCCTCCTATAGAAGAACCGCATTGTTACTCCGTTTGCGACGGCGAAAGCTCCTGCACCGAAGAAATCAACTGCACGCTGCAGGTCAACAAAGACGTGATTAAGAATCTCTTGGTAGAGCACATGAGACACATCGGTGGACGATTGCAACTTCTCGACGATCTAGAAGCGAACAAGATAGACCTAGAGAATCGCGAGCGTTTCGTCAAGTTGTACAAGCAACATGAGATAAACGCGTTGCTACTTTACGCCAGTTTCCTTGGTCGAGTGGACATTGTCACCAGTCTGCATATGTGCGGAGCGGATCTGAACCACTCGGAACAAGGGCAAGGCCTAACTCCGTTGCACTTGTGTGCGTTTAGCAATTGTTTAGACGGTGTGCAATATTTGCTATCCAACGGGGCTAACATTCATTTGAGACGAACTCATACACCCTTTCATTACGCTGCTTTCGGGAATGCTTTCAAAGTAGCCCAGTATTTCCTTCAGTTAGGTATCAGTCAAGAGTCTTCCTGCGGGGAGGAGACGGTTCTGCATTCCGCGGCTAGATCGAATGCTTTGAACGTGTTAAAGTTGCTAGCAGTTCATAATTCTACTTTGAATCATTTAGATTCTAACGGATACGCCGCTATTCATCACGTCGCGGATAGGGGAGATCCAGCTTGTTTGAAAGCGCTTTTAGACGCAGGTTGTGACTTAGATCTGATGACGAAGAAGGGTGACACCGCTTTGCATCTCGCCGCGGAAGCTAGTTGCGTGGAAAATGTCGATTTACTCGTGGAGAGAGGTGCTAACGTTCATTTGAAGAATCACAGAGATCAAACAGCTTTGCATATAGCTTCTCGTTCTCATTCGTTGGAATGTGTAGAGATATTGCTGAAGAAAGGTGGTTGCGATCCTAACATCGAGGACAGCGACGGAAGAACACCTTTGCACCTCGCTTTAGGGAGATCCCTGCTGGCCTACGACGTGACGGAATTTCTCATCACGTGGAAGGCGAACGTGAACAAAGCTGAGAAATACGGTTACACGCCGCTTCATATCGCTGCTCTGAACGAATTGTCTCAGTGCGTAGACATTCTGATTCAGCACGGCGCTAATCTGAGCTCCAGGACGAAAGGAGGTACCAGCGCGCTGTCTATAATCTTACGTAAAACACCAACATCGTTGAACGTTTTCAAACAGAAATTAGACGCCTCGATAACGCTTCACCAGCATGGATCAGCTACCGGAGAGGTGGAGCTACGCCTCGACTTTCATCCTTTGCTAATGCATCAGCAGCAAGGCGAGATAAGATATCTAGGCACCTTCGTGAAAGAAGGATACAAGGAGATCCTGGAACACCCGCTCTGCCAGGCGTTCATTCATCTGAAATGGCAAAAGATACGGAAGTATTACGTGGGCAGGCTAGTCTTCTACCTGTTTTACGTTCTCATACTAACAGGCTGGGTAATGACTGCTCTGGCGCATAACTGTTACAACGAGTCACACGGCCAATTAGACAACACTCAGCCACCATTATGTGCAAATACCAGCGGTATCAATGGTTTTCTTTATAGACATCCCGCGTTACTCGAGGTGGAATGGTACGCGCTGATGGTGCTCACGATCCTCGAAGCTGTCCGCAAATTGACCAGTATCCCGACCTATCTCTCCGTCCGACAATTCTTCACCCAGGCCGAGAACATGGTGGAATGGTGCGTAATCCTAAGCGTGTTCGCCACTTCGTTCATCTACACCGGTAGAACGTACGCGTGGCAGAGTCACGTAGGAGCATTCGCGGTTCTCTGCGGCTGGAGCAATCTTATGCTAATGATAGGACAATTGCCGATATTCGGAGCATACGTAGCGATGTTCACCAGTGTTCAAGCGCAAGTATTCAAACTTCTGTTAGCCTACGCCTGTCTTCTGGTGGGCTTCACTGCTAGCTTCTGCGTGATATTTCCACGCTCGAAATCCTTCAGCAGCCCGCACATAGGTCTGATCAAAGTTCTCGTCATGATGACCGGAGAATTGAACTTTGAGGATCTGTTCTTTCCTCGAGAAGAGGACGGGAAATCGACGGATTCAGGCGGTACCTCGTGGATCTTGCTTCAAGTGTCCGCTCAATTATCGTTCGTGTTGTTCCTCCTGTTCGTCACCATAGTATTAATGAATCTTTTGGTGGGCATTGCAGTTCACGATATCAAAGGGCTACAAAAAACAGCTGGACTAGCAAAACTCGTTCGCCAGACGAAGCTCATTTGCGACGTCGAGACCGCTCTTTCGCCTTTAAGAGCTGTTCTAACCGTACGTCCGTTGAATCCACGAGAGACTAGGCTACCTCGTGATTTATTGGCTGCCGCGCACAAGGTCGCGAAAGATCGTAAAAATATGTCTGGCACGTTGTGCAGCAGAAAAAGCAACAGCACAGCGTACACGTATCTGAAGAGCGAGCCATATTCGACGCTTCATCGTCGATCACCGGAAGAGGACGTTTTCTCGGACGATCACGCGATGAAAGGTGAATTGGCGGAGCTGAAGAGGATCTGTGAAAGAAACCAGCAGCTTCTTCAGGATCTGGTGGTAACGTTGGTAAACAATAAGCGGGACGTGAATAAGGAAGAGGATGCGAATAATTAAGTTTGCTCTCTGAGAATTCTGAGAATCTCGACGATTGGAGAATATCGTGTGAATGATCTGAAGAACTTTGGATCGCTGGATCGACCTTAGAAATATCCCTAGAATGGTACATACGTATGGAAAAAAGGAGGAATTTTAAACGCAATCTCTGCATCGTGGTGTTTGAATAGAATACCTTGTTATTTTTTTCTTACACTTGAAGAATCTACGATTGTAATTGTGTACGCTTCCCAATGCTAGAATCAATTTGTATCGATCATTGACGCCCTTCTAGCATGTTTATTTCTAACAGCTGACGTAATCTTTTAGCGAAGAGAGAAGAAACGTGAAACGGAAAATCCAGATGAATATAATGACCGCGCGTGAAATCGTTGATTTATTTTCGATGTTTTTTGAATATTCGAAAGAGCACGTACGAAATGGAAACTTTAGTACGATTTAATTTCTGAATTTATTTCCATTTCTATTTTACATGTTTCAACTGCTTCGTGTGTTTTTCAAGGTGATTTGTCAACTTTCTTAAATGTACAACAGCCTCATTTTAATACTGATTTTTAAATATGATTTAAAAATTCAGGTTTATTCAATATTCGTCTTCATTTATTTTTATTATTTGCATATTGCAATAGTTACAATATGATAATAGTATAAATATTGTTATGATTATGATCATGATTCGATGTGTATTTATTTTATTACATTAAACAGATCCTCTCGTTTACAATTTCAAACATAAACATAAATTAAA